TAAAGGTACTGATTAAACAAAAAGGATTGATTTATTTCTAGATGGAGTCTTATTTTACAATTTGGACAAATCAAAATGATAATCATTCATGCATTGATCAAGTATTTTTACCATATAATTTTGTTGAACAAAATCTTAGAAAAGATCTGTCAAATAAAGAAAGGTATATTTCTTGAATGTGTTTTTGAAATGATTATCGAATTTAATTTTATGGACAGCATGGTCTTCATCGATTACATCGTTATGGAAATGAAAAAAAGAAACATTGAAATTCATAACCTAAACGATTGAAATCATCTGAGTATACGGTTTGACTGATTGATGATGATTTTGAGGAATGAGAATCAACCGTTTATGAAACAATAGCAACAACGACAAAGAATAATGAAGCTACTGATTAGTACAAATACAATAAAATATGTGCCACTTTCGTTAGAAAAAATGATTAAAAATACAAAGAAGAACAAGAAGCAATTTCAAAATTCAACACATCATCTCATGTTTCAGTACTTTCAGAATTCACTATAAAAAGACTATAATGAAATATCATAAAACATATACGAGAAAGACAATAAGACTCAATAAGTCAGTGCGAAATTCAGCCCATAGATATTATCTAATGATTTTGGGAATCTACTGAAAGTTTCAACAGTAAAGAATGTTCATTTGTCGACAAAAATATTGAATTTTCAATAAAAAGTTGCTTGTCACAGAGATTTACTCTAGCAAATGTGTGCACCAATGTAGATAAGGGTACTGGAGTCTTGTCTTCACCCACATCAAACCCTCAATATTTATATAAGTCGGCATTTTTATCTTTTGAGACCTTGTTTTTCGGCCAAAGTAAACTAAAAAATGGATCGAAGATTCACCGAAACGGTTATAACTTGGCTTTAGATATCCATGAGCACTAGAGCCCAGTGGTTTCAAAAAATATCCGTAATCAGAATTGCCGGTTCAATTCCCACTTCGGTTAGGAAAAATGAAAAACAAACGGTTCCAATTTCGGTTCGTAGTCGTAAATTATATTTCGTTTTCTTTTTTCGAGATTGTTAATATATATTATTTTTGAAAAACAATGTCGAAAGATAAAACAACGTCGAAAGATAAAACAACAAAGAGAAAGCATGAGAAAATCATGACTACTTTTCATGTGCATAATCTTTTCGTTAATAAAGGATTATACTGAGCTGAAACCTTTTGTAATATTTTTGGGTGCATAGTTACACAAGAAGAGAAATTTTAACTTCAAAGTCTCCTTCTTAGTTAGAGCTAGAACAATTTTACTATATTTGATAATGGTCATTTTTAGAAGAATCAGCTTTAAAAATAGAATATTTTGTTTGATTTCTTACTACGATAGAATACTACTGAAGAACCTGTAATGTTTTTTGTTTGGAAAACGATTCTTCAGACGGCAAAAAGTTCGCTTAATTATTGTTGCTACAATGGTAAATTGATTTCTCTGACTTTAGCTTATGTAACACCTGATCAGTCTCCACGTTACTAGTAAAAATTTTTCGGAATCCGTAGGCTCTAATGAGCACATTCGGGTAGCTCCCTCTTTATTTATCGTTCTTTTTGTCAGTGATAATACTAAGCAACACATATCTCTAGTTTGCAGTATTTAACAATGTCTATGTTAATAATTATTAGACATGATGTATTGATGACTAGAAATTATTTTTATGTATTAATCAACTTTTTTCTTCAGTCCCAAGTTTGTAACTAAAGAAGAACGTGAAGCTGTGGTATTACGACGACAACAAGTAGAAGTTGAACAAACAGCTACAAAAGATGATAGAACAGATCGACCAAGTACTTCAAATAATTCTTGATGTTTGTTTTATTCTTCTCGTTTACATTAATTTTTTTTCTTTCATTGATTATAACCCAATCTATAAAGAAAAATAACAAATACAATTTTTGGTCCTGATCATATGCTTGATATTGATATTAATAAGAAAAAAAGAGCAATCCAAGTTTTGTGATGACTTACTTGTTAATTTTCTAAAGTGAAAGAAAACTTTGCTTTATGGAACTCATAATATTTTCGAAGAAAATATTCAATGCAAGTTGAAATTGAGATTTTGCGGCTCTCCCCTTGAACGTTAGCGACCAAATTTAAATGTCAGTTACCAATGAGCATGTTTTCCCTAGTAACGACAGGACTTAGACTTTTCTAAAACATTTGTTTGTGAACATGAAGATTTAAATTGCAGATGTAAAGGACAATAGGTAATGATTCATTGGTTTACCTAAAAAGAGTGAATTGATCATTGTGTAACTTTAGTGGATACAGACAACAGACTTATCTACAAGTTAAATCAATGTTTAAAATAGTAATTAAAAAACGAAAGACGACAGTGAAAAGCAATAAGACAAACAGCAGAAAAATAGAGCGTAAGTAAAAAATCTACCAAAGATTTTTCACACTTATACCTTTACTTGCTTGAATTCGATCATTATCAACAGTTGATAGATATAATGATTGTCTTGATAATGAAATGGATAAAAAGAATTTCTTTAAAGACCTCTTGATGCTGACAATGGACCATATACATTTATTTTAAGAGATTTTGCTTCAAAAGATAAATACTGTCAAGCAGTGATGTTTACAACAACAATAACATCTGTTTATATTGATCCAATTAATGAATCAACTGAACGTGTTGAATAAATTATTATTAAGTATTCAGAAAATGATAAACGTAATAAATTACTTGAAGTTCTTGAACTTTTTATTAAAACAAAATAATTGGATTCTTTTTTGTGTATTTCTATTAGGATGAACAAGCTCAAAAAGATATTCTTGTTCCAACATATGTTGCTGATCGTGTTATTGATATAAAAGATGTTTCACTTCATTCGAGGTAAACAACAAAAAAAGATTTCATAAAAAAAGGAAATAAATAAGATTTGAATTACTTTTGATTATATAAATCGTACTGGTCGTACAGGTCGTATAGACAAAGTGATAAGATTTTTAACAAAAGAAGATTCAGCTATATTTTATGAATTAAAACAAGTTATACTTGAATCACGTGTATTACAATGTCTACCTGAATTACTTAATCATCCTGATATACAACATGAACTTGGTTCGATTTTTTTTTGTCATTAAAATTATGAATTTACTTAAATAAAAAAGACATTATTTCTTGTATTTGTCTTGTTGTTAACAAAAAAGTTTTTTTTTTCTTTCTATTGTGTGACGGTTTATTCAGATTCTTATATAATAGTATTTATCAACGTACTTGTTCTGAAGTAAATAATACTGAACAATTTGATATATATTTGACCAAAATCTGTACTGATTCTAATAATCATTGTGATGATTTACAGAATATTATTGATACAATGTTTTGAAGAAGATCGATAAAACTGCTGATATGATATTGGATGCTTCTGCTATTCAATCACATCTTATAATTCTAAACGAAGATGAGAACGAATGGTATTATTAAATATAAATTTTCATTATTCATTTTTATATTTTTGTCTTTCTTTTGAACTTCAATAATAACTTACTGAAGATCTAGTTGCCACATAGTGGTAAAAAAAATGAGGTTCTTTTTTTTTAGTTTCTCTTCAATTATTTTTTTCTTCATTGTGAGAAGTTGAAATTTGAAAATTTTCATTTAAGCCTATGTTTATCATATAATATAATAGTAAAAGTAAATCTTGTGTTCTTATACAAAGTGATAACAAAAGAAATATAAAGTAATGTATCGATTTTTGCTTTGTCTATGTCACTATTGTCATGTAAAGATGTTTGGTAAGTTCTGTTACTTTAGACGATTGAACGAATCGAAAACTAGTCTCCTTAGAACTTCGAGTGCCTAGAAAAGATGCAATTAAAGTGGTCATATTCATTTTTGAAACAGAATATCAGAAAAAATAGTTAAGTAAATTCGTACGATATATACTACAGTTGACAATCATGTGCTTCTCAAACAAAGAGAAAGATATATATATTATCTAGAAATTAATCAGACTTTTCTAAATGAATATGACTCTGTTCTCTCGACTGAAGGGAGGATAATTTGAAATAATATGAGTTTGTGATCGTCGATGCACAATAACATGCACTAGTGCAATTAATAAAGTTTGACCTAAGTTAATCGGGGTCGGGGAATTCGAATCCGTGATTATTTTTTAAAGAAAGGAATTTTTTTACGAAAAAAAATATTCTTCCCATGACTGTAATCATTCATATTACAATAGGAAACGTGTCACGTAATTTTTTTTTATAAATTAAATGAAGTCTTTTTTTTCTTTTTTGATGATTGCATATGATTAATATATCTATGTTTTCAACGTACCGATGTGGTTTTCTATTATTTCAGGTCATAGGTACTGATATGATATATATTGTGAACATATGCCTCTCATAATGTATTTATCTTTTGTTCAATATTATTTGTTGCAATGCATATTTGAAAAGAACAACATTTTTTAAACGTGATCAGCAACAAAAAAAAACTCTTGTACGGATTCTTGAGGTAGATCCTTGATGTTTCTTTTTGTATTAATAATTACAGCAGAAA